TTGAGTCCTGGCCCTGGGGGTTTAAAAAACACGCTGGGTGCGTGTACACACATGCCCAGGGTCCTGACGAGATGGAAAACCAGAGTAAAAAAGGACTGCGGCATGGCCATTGCTGAATGAATGAGGGGACTCCTGCTCGCTCACTCTCTCTCACTCGCTCGCTCGCTCACTCTCTCTCGCTCTCTCTCTCTCTCTCTCTCCACACACACCCCCTGCCATTAAACAAAAAGAATGCAAAACTCTTAAGAGGAAAAAGATGATTTACAGTAAGCTTGAAGCTGAATCCTAAGTTACCTGAAAGTATAGTTCCCAGGAACGAGCTTGCTTAGTTTTAATATGGCAGTGTCTTCAGAAATCTTCTCTTCTCTCAGAGGCCCCTTAAGTTCCTCCCAGTGGTACTGGACGATTTTATCATCATCAGTGCTTTCTTGACCATAAAGAAACATCAGTTACACAGGAGAAGGGTGGTTCTCCACACTGATCCAGCGTTCACAAACCGAGCCAATTACGGAGGGCCTTGAAGCGAGGAAAACTCCATGGAACTACAGGCTATTGCTCCAGTGTCTCTTCCCTAGAAATGTTGGGTCATTCTGCCCCTCTGTGAATATTCCATTCTGTCATTTTCCAAGGACTCTCACAGAGACAACCTCTGGTGTAGGGCCAGCCTCACGGCCTAGTTGTTAAGAGAGCCAGATCCCACATGGCCAACCACAGTTCGAATCCCAGACCCAGAGGCTTTAAAAACATGCTGGGTGTGTGTGCATTCCCCAAATCCCAACGGGATGGAGAAACGGAGGAGGAGATGTTGCAGTGTGGCTGTGGCCCACTGAGAAGTTCGTTCACCCTCTCCCCCTCTCTCGGGAGAGTGCTCATGCGCTCTGGCAATTAGAAAAAGAAGAAAAAATATTGCTACTGTGTGAAAAAAGGAAAATCAATGATTCTTAAACATGCCGCACACACACACAAAAATACTCTACATCACTTAAAAGAAATGCAAATTAAGCCTATGAGACTGGTAAGGACCAAAGTTTCATAACAAATTTTACAGGTGAAGATGCAGCGAAAGAGGCCTCTCTTTAGTCATGGCAAAGGTGTAAACTAACACAGCCTCTATGAATGGGGACTGGGCCACATTCATCTTTGCCCTGTCACCTCTTTGTGCAGGAGTTCATCCCACAGATACACGTGCACATTGTTAAACATCATATTTACATGGTTAGTGATGGTAACAGCAACAGAATGAAAGTGACCTGAATGGCCCTCGGTACGGAGCGATGGAAAACAGGGCCCACTCGTACACGGACCTGCCCATCCCTATCATGGGATGCTATGTGACTTGAAAAGGGCAAATAAGCATTCCACGTATCGATTCAGAAAAATTCTCGACATATAAAAACGACCATCACGCGTGACAGGAACATCACACATGACAGCATGTGTGATGTATTAATCGTGTGTAGAGGGACTGGAGACTACATGTGTTTTCTTACATATGCATAAATACCTCCCGAAGGATACACGAAATGACAGTACTACGGGCAGCCCGGAGGAAAACGGGACCGTTGCGAGGCAGGAATGGAGATGCTGTTCACTGGGTACGCGGTTCCCTATCGCTTATTTTGACCCATCCAAAACAACAAGTGAAACTGTGCCAGAGGGGCCCTTTCTATCCCAGTGCTTCTTCCTGCTCTCTGTCTCCTCTCGGCCTGATACTCTCCCAGCCTCCTCTTGTCGCCAGTCACTGACATCAAATGCTCACCCGCACTGGTGGCCCCTGATAGAGGGACTGATGGGGAACAGGGCTTAACAGGTCTCCAAAGAAAAGCAAGTACTGAAACCTCGCGTACACACGCCAGGACCGAGGGCGAGGATCCAGAAGTCCTCTCCTGTCACTCCTCAGTGACTCCACTCAGAAGTAATGTTAAGGAGCCCAGGCGGGTGTGGGGTACACTCTGAGTCTCTCCAGGAGGAGGCGACAAGAATCTTGTTGGGCAGTGGCTGGGGAAAAGCGTCTCCCAGGCCTCAGTCACTCATCTCGCTATGACAGGAAGAAATTTGGTTTTCTTAACTAGGAAAGGCAACTCCATCTAAGCGAATCTGAAAAGCAATGAAATAATGCTAAATACATGCATGCTCGCACTTTCTTACCATCTGGGGGCAGAAAGATTACTTCAAACAAGCCACGGAGGGCTTTTAAGTAGGGCCTGGCTGGTTTGCTACGTCCTACTCGCTGCGGCAGATGGCTGTGTCCCCGTAAAGCGGTTGGAAGACTGGCCTAGCTAGGACGTGGACGTGGCTGGCCCCAAGCCCCCTACCGAGAGCACGGTGGACTCTCCTACTGTGAGACAGCACACAGTCAGTACTCACGGCTGCCATCAATGACCGTAGAGGTTGTTGGCAGAGAGATCTCCTGGAACTGCGGAGACACAATAGCAACGGGAGGCCGATTCTTCCGGGGCTCTGCAAGGAAGTGACGGGAAGAGGGAAGAGGGACTTATCAGTTATAGGAGGAGGAGGTGCCTATATTGGAGAGGATGACAATCAGTTTCCATTACATAACTGATGGCTGAAGCACTGCCAAGCAGGTAAATCACAGCAGGCTGCCACTCTGACATAAGACTTGGAAGTGCAAAGGCCGTGTCCAGGACCCAGGGAGGGCACAGCAGTAAAACACGAGGCCTGGGAGGCAACGCCACGCGGAGAGGCTCCCTGAGTACGGAGGGCACGCACGATCCATGATCCAGGGCTGGCTGAAGGAGGGGGCGGACTGAGGCACTCGGACCCTGTGTGGGGAGCGCTCTCTCGCTCTCTTATTCTCATGGACAAAATTAATGAATAAACTTAAAAACAACAACAAGGGGCCCAGCAGGTGGCGCAGTGATTAAGGTGCTGGACTTCCACATGGCCAACCACGGTTCTAGTCTTGGGCCCGGTGTGCACGTGTGTGTCCAAAGTCCCGAGAGGAGAATGGAGAAGGGTGTGCAGTATGGCCGCTCCCCCAGGGTGGAATTTCTCACTTTCCACCTCTCTGTTTCTCGTGTGTCTCTAGTGAGCACGTGTGCCCCACAGCAAAACTCTCTCAAAAACAATACAAACAAAACCAAAACCCCTTCCAAACACATCTGTTGCCAGGACGACGGCCTCTGCGCTCTGAGTGCTCACATGCCGTCTGGCTCACGGAAAGTACTACAGCAGCAAGTGACGCCTTCGGGTAAGCCGGGATAGAGGGGGACGATGAGCAAGCTCTGCACAGCAAAGGACTGACTGGTGCCCTGCAGCCCGATGGTTAAGAGAACTCGACCCCACACGGCTGACTAGTTTGAATCCCAGCTTAGTCACCTGAAAAAGCATACTGGGCACATGTGCACGCAAGCTCAAAATCTTAACAGGATGGAGAGAGATGAAGGAAAGGGGATTGTGACACGATCACTCCCCAGAGTGGGGAGGGGATGCTTCTCTCTCTGACAAGTGCCACACCCTCTGGCAATTAAAAGAAGGCCTTGACCAGCAAATCATGGGGGGCACAGACTGTGAGGAAAGACAGTGGGTGACTTGTTAACCACCCGAGCTGTGTGAGGTGACTACAGCTGAGTGATGGGAAGGCAAACCCACTCTGGCGGACCAGTAGATGGCATAATGGTTTTGTCACTGGACTCCCAAGTAGTCGATCACGGTTCGAGTCCCGGACCCAGTGGTTTCAAGCTAACGCCAGGCGCATGTGCCTCTGTGCTCAAGATCCCGAGAGGAGATTGAGGGAGAAGGGATTGCAGTATGGCCATCCCCCCTGGGGGTGATTTCTCACTTTCTGTCTCTCTGTCTCTCTCTGTCTTTCTGGCGAGCGCCATATAGCAAAAACCTCT